AATGTGGATGGCCTACAGCCCTGGCCCCAGATTCAGCAGAAGCTGCAGTGCCCAGCCCTTGCACGGCCTTACCTAGTGAAGGCATGCAGGCCAGGGGGCATGCAGCATCGGCTCTCTCTCTGTGCCTGACTTTTCAAAAACACAATTACTCACCCTTCAGAGACGCCATCAGTGTTGGTAAACTCCAGCTACTAAACTGCATTACACTGATCTCTCCAGAAACCTTTGCAGTTATTAATAGTTTATTGATTGCAGCCCATTGCTGATGAGGGCAGGCCTCCTCACCCTCACCCCCCTCGGGTCCCTGCTATCTGTGGAAAGCCTGCTATTCATCATGCAGATCAATGCCACTCAATTCTGGGGAAAGGGAGTCTCTGGGCCACTTAATCCACTTTAGAAAGACAACAGAAAAGGCAAAATTTTAGATGAGGTGCTGAGAAGAGGTGGATTGGTCCAAATCAAAGCTGTGACCTGGCAGCTGTTGGATCTGCCAATGAGAACTAGAATCTGCCTTGGTTGGAGGTTGGGGGTGGGGGGGGGGATCCTGGCCATGTCAGGTGGTAACAGGGGAAACCAGATGAGGGGTATATAGCGATCTCTGTTATCTTTGCAAATCTTCTGTAATTCTAAACTTATCCAAAATACAAATTTTATCTTTTTAGAAAATAATTTGGCTCATGGGAGGAATGGAAAGAATACCACTGTAGCTGGAGAAAGGAGCAGGGGTGTGGGAGAAGGGAAAGTGTGAGACATGGCTGGAGGAAGGGGCAGGGGTGTGGATAAGGGAAGGTGGGAGGCATGGTTGGAGATGTAGAAGGAACAAAGTGTGCTGGGCCCTATTGGCAAAGATGACGATTCTTATCTCTCTTTTTGCCATTTTTATTGATAGCTTTATTTTTTAGAGCAGCTTTAGGTTCACAGCAAAACTGAGCAGAAAGTACAGAAAGTTCCCACCTGCCCCTGTCCCACACATGGACAACTTCTGCCACCACTGACTTCCTCCATTTCAGTGGCACATTTGTTACCATCAACAAACCTACATGGATATGCCATTATCACCCCAAATCCATAGCTCACGTTAGGGTTCACTTTTGGTGTTGTGCATTTGATAGGTTTTGGCAAATGTTACTACCTTTTAAAATGTTTTTATTGAATTGATATTGCTGTCTCGTATTTTTAAATATACAGTTTTATTTCTATTTAGAAGATTTTTTATATTCTCCATTTTATTTTATTTTATTTCCATAGGTTTTGGGGGAACAAGTGGTGTTTGTTTACATGAGTAAGTTCTTTACTGGTGGTTTGTGAGATCTGGGTGCACTCATCACCCGAGTAGTACGCCCTTTACCCAATTTGTAGTCTCGTATCCCTCACCCACCTTCCACCTTTTCCCCCAAATCCCCAAAGTTTATTGTATCATTCTTAGGCCTTTGCATCCTCCTAGCTTAGCTCCCATTTATGAGTGAGAACATACAATGTTTGGTTTTCCATTCTTGTGGTACTTCCCTTAGAATAGGGGTCTCTAATTCCATCCAGGTTGCTGTGAATGCCATGATTTTGTTCCTTTTTGTGGCTGAATAGTATTCCATAGTATAGATATATACCACAGTTTTTTATCCACTCATTGATTAATGGGGATTTGAGCTGGTTCCATATTTTTGCAATTGCAAATTGTGCTGCTATAAGCATGCGTGTGCAAGTATCTTTTTCGTATAATGTCTTTGTCATAAAAGCAGAGAGAGCCTTTGATGGGACTTAGGTAGAGGAGTACCATTCATCTCATTTGCATTGGAAAAGATCTGGATTCTATCTGGAGAATGGATCAGGAGGGAGATTACCAGGGACAGAAAGCCCAGTAAACCCTCTGCCTCCATATTCCAGGTGAGAAGAGATGCTGACTGTGGAGATGGAGGGAAGTGAATGGTTCAGGATCTATTAAGAGTAGAACACCCAGGACTTGGTCACTGTCTGTATTTGGAGGGTGTGGAAATGGGAGATGTCAAGGAGGGTGCCCAAGAATGTGCCTTGGGCTAATGGTGGAGGACAGGTCTGGACATTGGAGGAACTAGGGAACCTGGGCTTGCTCCTTCAGTCGATGGGGGAAGGAGCATCTGGTGCTGTACACATAGTCCTCAGTGAGAAGCTGCCTTTTTCATAAAGCAGCAATCCAGGTGTACCCTGAGCTGTCTTCTATACCACCTGTGAGGTGTCACCTACATGTGTCACCCAAGCATATTGCTTACGTTACTATCACCTGAGCATGTCATCAGGGTGGCAGTTGCCTAAACATGACACTATAAACACATCTTCTGCAGCCATCACCTAGGTGGCGGTTACTTGCACGTATCTGCCTGGGTGTCAACCATGTTATTATTATCTTATTACCTCATCTGGGGAGCTGCCAGCTACACATGTCTCCCGAGCCTGTTTCTTTGCAGAGCTGTCACCTGAACCTGCCACCTGCACTTCTGTCACCTACAAAAGTCATTTAAGCAGGTTGTCTCTATAACCAACAGCTATGAGTGTCACCAAGTGCAAATTCTGCTCCTACTGTTTGTAAGCCATGGGGCCTTGGGTAAGTCATGCCATCTTTCTCTGAGTCCCCCCCTTTTTTTTTTATCTAAAGTATGTCACTCCAGGTGACTGTCACTCAGTAATGGTGCCCGGTAAAGAGGCTATTTTTTCAGTCTAGCTGAGTTACAAACAAAGAAAATCATTCCCGGAGGGGAGACTGGTCCCCTGCTGTTCCCATGTCACTGTGCTCTTTCTTCTGAGATCAGGGAGTGGAGGGAGACAGCGTCTTCTCAACAAAGTCCCCATTCTTTAAGTCCTTCCTTGACAGTCGGTAGACCAGATGTCAACCTTTGTGTGTTCTATGTAAATGAAGGTGTTTGTTTATGCTAATGTGTGCTGGGTAGTGGGAGGGATGGGCTGGCTCAGCTCAGTAAGACGACAGTGATGGAAAAAGAGGCTGGCAGCCCAGGTGTTGGGGGACAGTGAGTCACAGGGGAAAAGGAGCCAGAAGACAGAGATGAAGCAGGTAGCTAAAAGGACAGAAGAAAAGAGTGAGGCTGAGGTTACGTTGCTCTGCAGAAACAGGTGGAAGAGCAAAATGGGAAGTGTGTCCAGGAGGCAGAAGGGAGGATGAAGAACTGGATTGAAAGAACCTCCCTTCTCAGGGGTGGCAGAGCAGGGTCACACGCCCAAGAGCCTGAGCGCTAACCAACTACTGCTCTTTCCTGTCCACAGTGGGGTCCTTGTCAGGCAGGTTAGTGGGGTAGGGCCGTGGGTATGGATCCCTTCCCGTGGTTTCCTGCTATGACTTGGGAACTTTTAAGACTTAAACAGATACCCCAGTCCCGCTAAGTTGTAGCCAGAATAGGCTGGAACTCGCATGAAGACAGACGTATTTCCCCAATGCAGCAATGACATAGCCTCTGCAACTTCAGGCCAAGGCTCCTTCCCATCCAAGTGTCCAGATTCCACTTGGCCAGGAATTCCCCCTCCTCACAGAGCTTCGAAGGACTGAGGAACAATACGGAATGGTCCCTCTGTCCATTTGGGTGCAACGTTCCTGCTTACAGAAGTCCTGCAGTGACATCATTGCATTTAATCTTCACTGCAGTCACAGGAAGTAGCACCTCCACTGTTTAGGAAAGAAAATGGAGAGGGGAGATGGACTGACTTATCCAAGGTCCCATGATTTACAAACAGTAGGAGCAGAATTGGAACCTGGTTCTCTTTGACTCCATGTCAAGGCTCTTTTCAATATAGAAGGGAGGAAAGAGCCTCCATGCTGGCGTTTTCCATGGGGAGAGAGAACATACCAACTCATTTTCACATGGTCTGACCCTGTAGATGCTATAGAAAGATCTAGAACAGGAGCCGTCCAACTACAGCCTGCGGGCCAAATCTAGCCCATTGCCTATTTTTTCACAACTTGTGAACTGAGAATGCTTTTCATACTTTGAAATGGTTGCAGAAAAAAAAAGAAGAAGGATATTGTATGGCAAATGAAAATTATATGAAATCCAAATTAAAATGATCATAAGTAAAGTTTTACTGGAGCACAGTTGCACCAATTTGTTTACGCACCATCTGTAGCTGCTTTTGTGCTGCAAGGACAGAGTTGAGTAATTGCAACAGATAATGGAAAGGGCAGCAAAGCCTAGAATGTCTACCCTCTGGACTTCTAGGAGAAAAGTCTGAAAGCAGGTTTAGGTGGTCTCTCCCATCCTCAGGGATCACCTCCTCTGAGACACCCTCCCATCACCTCAGGGGTGGGATTGGCTGCTCCCCAATCTGAGCTCAGATAAGCTTATGCTTTTCCATGTGAGTGTGGAACCCAGATCAGCTTCCCTACCTCCTTATCCACTGGGATGGGGGCTCCTTGTGGACCTGAATTTTATTGTCTTTCTCTTCCATGATCTCAGGACTGGGCATGAAGTGGCAGCATGGCAGTGTGGAGAGAGAAATTCAGATTTCCATACTGGTTCTTATCTGTATACAGGGTTGGGGGCAATTGACTTCCGTCCCGAGCCTCAGTTTCCTTGCTTATGAAATGGAAATATGGACCCTGTATGGAGGCCATCATGAGGAAAGAGGGAGCTGATGCCTCCAGTGACAGTTTTGAGCCCATACTCATGCAGTGATAGACTAAATGCCCACATCTATTCACCTATGCCATCCTCACGGCTCCCTGGAAGTGGGCAGCATCCCAGGCCCATGGAAGCCGACAGGCTAAACAACTGCTCCAGGACCCACTGAGCACAGATTGGACTTTGGCTGAACACAGTCCACACCTTCACTGTCTGAAAGGCTGAGTACAGGGCCTGCATACAGTCGGTGTTCCATAAATGCTCCCCTCCTCCCAGCCCAGCACACAGGCATGTGTTTGTTAGTGGAGGCTGCACCAGTGGGCATCAGGATGAGTTTCCTTGAGCGCTGCCTTACCCTGCCCCGCAATGATGGGCCCTCACCCTGTCTTCTGCCTCCCCTAGGCTGCCCGAGGTCCGGATCTCAGACAACGGTCCCTATGAGTGCCATGTGGGCATCTATGACCGCGCCACCAGGGAGAAGGTGGTCCTGGCATCGGGCAACATCTTCCTCAACGTCATGGGTGAGTGCAAGGCCACTGGACCCAGCGTCTCAGTGAGGAGGATGAGTGTCTTTGAGTGTGTGTGTGCGTGCACACAGCAGCCATCCTGGGGGCCATCTACCAGAAGTTCCGTTGTGCTGGTGTCTTCCCTCTCCTGCCCTTGTTGTGGAGGGTCAACCAGACCAGGCTGAGCTAAGGTGTGACCCGTGAGGTCTTGCCCCCCATGGGCCTCCCCTCAGGAGGTCCCCTTCTTGCAGCACAGGTACCCCAACAGGACCCTCCCCAGGGAGTGAAGGACAGCACCTCAGCCAAGATGCACAGCTGCTGCAGAGGGAACCATTCTGCCCCTCAGTCAAAAGATCCCCCTGCACTTCCTGAGGCCTTAATGGAATTGGCATAGGATCTGGAGACGAATTAGGAAGCGCTCAGGGCTGGGATTCAGAGCTCCAGGGTTCTCACCGTCTCCTCTTGTCTCCATTTATGCACCTGTAAAATGGAGGTAACAATACTGGTGTCTATCTCCAGCTGGCTGGGTCCTTGGGTAAGTCTATCCCAGTCCCAGACTCAGTTTCCCCATGTGTAAAGCAAGAATGCTGCTCTGCGCATTCTCAGAAGCCCCCACCGGCTCTAATGTTCTTGTCAGATACACACCTTTGGATTCTGGCTCTATTGCAAGGATGCTGGGGACTTGGCCTTGACTCTAGACTCTGTGTTCTCCAGTTTTCTTATCAAATAATATTTATCAGGGAAACAAAGCTGTGGTACACAGGCAATCAATGAAAGCATAAAGGCCCCGCTGAAAGCCGCTGCTTCTGGGGAAATTGAAAACCCCCAAAGGCCAGACCTCCAGAGGGACATTGATTCTTGCAGTGTGCCAGTGGTGGTTCTGGCTTCCCAATGGAGCCACAATGCAGGAGGTGGCGTTGCCAGGAAAAGCCCCTCTCTCGCAGTTACTCATGCACCAGTCAGCTTCTCTGATAGAGGAACTAGCAGCGTTTGGGTGCCTGGCTCTGGGTTGGCCACACCAGGGAACCTAGGAGGGACATAACTCAGTTTGCACCATCAAGGAACTCCCAGTCTGATGGGAGACATGTACTTAATCAACCATTTATGCATCACAATGTATCCAGCACCTACCTATGAGATAGCAGGGAATGGACCCAAACTTTTTATAGGACAAATACTTATCTATAGAGATTTTGCAGGAGACCAGCATAAAACACACTCATAGATGAATTGAAAAGAGCATGCAACATGCTGGAAGAAAATAAAGCAGAGTAAAGGGATAAAGAGTGACTGCAGGTGGGTGGCTGCTAGCATAGGGAGGGGACTCAGGGAAGGCCCCTCTGCAGCTATTGGGCTGAGGGCTTTACATGTATTACATCATTTAGTCCTCACAACCAACCCGAGGGTACATGCTCACATTAACTCCATTTTGCAGATGCAGAAATGGATCACAGAGAAAGCAAGCAACTTGCCTAAAGTCACGCAGCCAAGTTCACAAAATCCTCCTATGATATCAGGCAGCTCAGTGTTGCACTGGGACTCAGGCGTCTTGACTCCAGGGCCAGCTCTGTCACACTGCTGGAGGCAGTGAAGATGCTGTGCTAAGGCCTCACTCTAAGGTGCCTTCAAGCAAGGCCAGAGTCCTCAAAATCCATCCCTCCATGAGGCCCACACTTCCCATTACTCCACCAAAGAACTCTGAGCAGGTTATTCTCCCTCTGTGGCCTTGATTTCTCCCATCTGTACTGTTTTAGTCCATTTTCACGTTGCTGATAAAGACATATCCAAGACTGGGCAATTTGCAAAAGAAAGAGGTTTAATGAACTCACAGTTCCACATGGCTGGGGAGGTCTCACAATCATGGTGGAAGGTGAAAGGCACGTCTCACACGGCAGCAGACAAGAGAAGAGAGCTTGTGCAGGGAAATTTATGTAACCATGAGATCTTGTGAGACTTATTCACTATCATGAGAAATAGCACAGGAAAGACCGACCCCTATGATTCAGTTATCTCCCACTGGGTCCCTCCTACAACACAGGGGAGTGGTGGGAGCTACAATACAAGATGAGATTTGAGTTGGGACACAGCCAAAGCATATCATGTATCATCAGAGGGTTGACAGATAATCCTACACTCCCTCCCAGCTCTGACACTTGTGAGTCTCTTATTCCATCCACTAGGTGAGGAAACTGAGGCACAGAGCGATCTCGTGGTACTGACTCAGGTTGCACAACTGGCCTGATGGTCTCTGCTAAGCAAGGGAGTGTGCTCCTGGCAGGCTCAGTGCCTGAGACTTTTCCTCTCCTTCTGTGTCACTGCCTGGGAATCAGGAACACTCCCTGTGGGAGGCAGCAGTCACCAGAGACCAGAGCGTTGGGAAGGAGGGAGCAGCTGCTGTAGTTCCACTTACCGAGCGGTCTGATGGGGCTCCATGGACTCTGCAGGCAGCTGAGTCTTCCAGGAGGGGCCGGGCAGGGGCAAAGCTAGTGATGCAACCCCTACCTTCCACCCTGGCACTTTCAGATGCAGGGTAAGGGTGACCCCTGGAAATTCAGGGCTTTCCTGGCAGGATTTTCCCTGGCATTGCACCCGCCCATCACAGCCCATCCTCTGCTGGCCACTGCTCAGAGTTCACTGTGCTTGCCGTTGGTCTTCCCAGCCCAGCTGTCCCCCAGTGGAGCAGATCCACCTTGGCTCGCTATGCTCATGGGAACTGATATGGTAGCTGACACGTCTCCCGTCCCTCCCTGGACACGTGCATGTGCCTGACAATGTGTGAGCCTCTGGCTTCACGTGTGTTACCTTTTAGTATCCTCATGACAGCCCTGTGAGCTGAAGGACTTTATGATCCCCATTCTATGAGGAGACCGAGGCTTAGCGGGGAGAAGTGACTTGTTGGGTTCTAACAGCTTTCTAAGTCCAAGTCTCATGATCTAAACCAGCACTTCTCAAACTTAAGCATGCAGCAGAACTGGCTGGAGAGCTTGTTAAATACAGATGGCTGGGTCCCACCGCCACAGCTTCTGACTCAGCTGGGCTGGGGTGGGGCCTAAGAATATGCATTTCTCACAAGTTCCCAGGGGATGCTGCTGCTGTTAGTCCAGGGGCTATACTTTGAGGACCACTGATCTAAATCTCTAAGTATTTCCCAAAATACTAGTTCTGTGTGTATCTATATATTGATGGTTATTCGATATTATACATATCTACAACTATGCCTATACTCTTACCCATATGCAAATGTATTTTTCCTCCCTCCTCCCACTTCTCACCTCACCCCAAACACAGGAGGATCCCCCCTGGCCCCGATTTCTTAGCATACAAGTTAAGGACACATTGGTTTAGGTCCCAATCTCAGTTGTGCTCTGTGAACTCAGGCCCATTTTCCTCTGTGGGCCTCAATTTCCCCATCTGTAAAATAGGAATGGGGATGCTTCCCTCCTAGGGTGGCTGCGAGGCTTAAAGTAGATGAAGTTTGCAGAACACCTAGCCCATCAAGAATATCATTGAAGAGCTCAGTTACTTGGACTCTGTTGTTTTTATTATCACTGTCTCTGGTTTGCCCACTCCTGGGCACAGCTGTAGCTGCCTGCCTCTTGCCCCTGGTTTTGGCCCCAGCAGAGAGAAGCCCCCCATTCACAGCTCCGAAAAGCCCTGCACTAGTCTGAGGAATGACTGTTCTGGGAACACAGCTTCATGCACCGCGGTGGCCTGGAAGCCAGGGAGTGTCTCTGGGAGCGGCAGGGACAGGGGTCTCTGCTTACTCACCTTCTCTGGGCTTCTTCCCCAAAGGTCTGCGTGTCCTGGCACCACTCACCTATGGAAGGAGTCAGGATATTTCCCAACTGTCATGATGACAGCAATGCCTCACACTTGCCCGATTTGAGCACTTTCAGAGGGGCTTTCACATTGAGGACATCACCCAATCCTCACTGCAGATCGGAGCATGGGGTTTACTATCATCCCTAACTCACAGATGAGGAGACTGAGGCCCAGGGAAGAGAAGGTATTTGCTCCAGGCCTTGTAGGGTGGGGGTGATCTTTGTGCCAGAGCAGCGTGGCTTCTGTAGCTCACCAAGGTCCTGAATGGTGAGAGGAGGACTGGGGGAGGGGGCATGGCTGAGTGTTTCTCATACAACATCTCCTGTAACCCATCGACCACGTGGGCCTTGGAGGCAGGCACCACAGCGAGCCCATTGCACAGACCTGGCTCAGAGGGGCATGGGACTTGGCCGAGGTTGGAGGGTTAAATGAGATAATCTATAGAACAGAATGTTCTGGGCCTGAGGCTTGGCACATTCTGGATGATCAAGAAATAGTATCTCTTACGACAAATAGTAGTTGGGTCAGATACAAACCAGGCACAATTAGACCAATCTCTGTGAACGTCTCCTTCAAATATGTTTCAGGGCAGGTTTCAAAAATTAAAACCAACTCATTGCTTTGGTTCATCTGTGGGATTGTGTTCACACACAAAGAACCTCCCTTTAAGCGAACGGAGGTCATCGAACGCTGGGGTCTCTTTTGTGCCACATGGGACCCCAAGGGCCGCTACAGCCAAATTGAGGCAAGACAGCCTCTCCCTGATTTGGAGGTCGATGGGAAGCTCTCAGGACAGTGGGGAGAAGGAGAGCTGAGGAGCTGGGGACGGCCCAGGGCCCACCTGCCTCAAAGCACAGAGCAGTTCCGCCAGACAGCCCAGCACCCCAGTCTGCCATCCACACGTCCACATTCAGCACATTCTAACGCGGCCATTTCCAGAGGCCTCCGGGTGCAGATGAAAACGTGAGTGCAGCTGTAATTTCACGCCTATAACATCCCACTATGTGGTGGGGAAAGACATTTGGGAGCCCCGTGGGTGACACCAAGGGTATATGCTGCACACAGTCATTAAAATGTTTTTATCCGAGCTGCAGATAAATTGTAAGCCAATTTGAAAGTTGCGTGCTGGGCCCCAGGAACACATTATACACAGTCATGGAAGGATTTTGAAGGTTCTTCTGGGGGTGCAGGTT